GGCTCGTATTACCTTCCATCTGAATTACTTTACCATCCATTTAAACGGTGTTGCTGCCACAGCAGGACGAACCCGGGTGCGTGTGAAAGTGTCGAACAGAAACCGTGACATTGAAGCCGTTTCCTTTCTGCAGGCCTCGCTCTGTAATCCTCTGGTTACTGTTGAACTGCGGCTGAGCTCCTGAGACGGCGCCCGAGCCTCGGGACAAGTTTCTGTACAATAATAACAAAACACGATGAGTCACAGAGTCAATAAAGCCAAATGTAGCTCCCAGGTCTGAGGACTGCACCTTTGATTCTTCTTGATGAACAGCAGGTGTATTATTTGTCAGGTAGTTTCATTAAAGCTGCTCCAGCAACACAAACAGTCCAGAGGACCAGTTCAGGGTTTTATCTGGCGTTGGCCTTTTGTCTTCAGTAGTGTCCAACTCGATGAGTCGTAAAATAAATGCTCCTCTGCACAGCTGTGTTCGTATCAGGCTGTAAACGTGTTTATTTCTCGGACATTTGAACGCGGGACTGTTTGAGTCGCTGCTGGAGCCTCGTGTGGACATTAGAGGAACAACAGCTTCCTTCTTGGGCTCTGTCACTTCCTCTGCTGTGAAAGCTCTTCAGAGGAGCTTGATTTGAATATTTGGATAACACGTCAGCTCTGCAGAACCACAAACCCACACACTGAAGTTTGTTTTGACTCAGACGGCTTTAAATGAGATTAATCTGCTGCCAAAAAGAGCCAATAACAAATGCACTTTGTTTGCTGAGAGTCACGAAGATGATTGTTAGCTGTCAGAAAAACACTAACCTCAGTGTTTTGTCCCCCTGTGGCTCTGACTGTATTTTCTCGGTCAGTTATTTTGGAGATGATGGGTAAACTCGACCTGTTCTCCACCTGTTCTCACCGTCTCACTTTCCATCATCTCGCATCCTCGTCTACTTCTACACAATCTCTCTTCTCTGCGAGGACGACACAAAGGCTGCTTGTTCCCAGCCTGCCTGCCTTTGTCCCGAACAGACAATGCAGTGACTCCAGGGGACAAAGG